CAACTGGCCCAACAGGCAAAAATGAAGAAAAAATTCAGGTTCTAACAGACAAAATTGATGTGCTCCTGCAGCAGATTGAAGAATTAGGATCTGAGGGAAAGGTAGAGGAGGCCCAGGGGATGATGAAATTAGTTGAACAGTTAAAAGAAGAGAGAATTGCTTAGATCCACAACCTCGACAATTGAAAGTTTCGCTGCTCAAGAAAAACAAATGGAGGTTTGTGAAGTGTGTGGAGCCTTTTTGATAGTAGGAGATGCCCAGTCTCGGGTAGATGACCATTTGATGGGAAAACAACACATGGGCTATGCCAAGATTAAAGCTACTGTAGAGGAACTAAAAGAAAAGTTGAGAAAAAGAACTGAAGAACCTGATCGTGATGAACGTCTAAAAAAGGAGAAGCAGGAAAGAGAAGAAAGAGAAAAAGAGAAGAGAGAAAGGAGAAAGAGAAAGAAAGACGAAGAGAAGAGGAAGAAAGAGAAAAAGAAAGGCTCGGGACAGAGAAAGAAGAAAGAGAGTCGTTCACGAAGTAGGCACTCAAGCCGAACTTCAGACCGAAGATGCAGTCGGTCTCGGGACCACAAAAGGTCACGAAGTAGAGACAGAAGGCGAAGCAGAAGTAGAGATCGATGGAGAAGCAGAAGCCATGACAGATCAGAAAGAAAGCATAGATCTCGAAGTCGAGATCGAAGAAGATCAAAAAGCCGGGATCGAAAGTCATATAAGCACAGGAGCAAAAGTCGGGACAGAGAACAAGATAGAAAATCCAAGGAGAAAGAAAAAAGGGGATCTGATGATAAAAAAAGTAGTGTGAAGTCCGGTAGTCGAGAAAAACAAAGTGAAGACACAAACATTGAATCGAAGGAAAGTGACACTAAGAATGAGGTCAATGGGACCAGTGAAGACATTAAATCTGAAGGTGACACTCAGTCCAATTAAAACTGATCTGATAAGACTTCAGATCAGACAGAGGACTACTGTTCGAAGACTTTTGGATGAATACTGAAAACGACATAAAGTGAAGATCGACATTAAATGAGGTGAAAGAAAGCTTATAGTGCATAGAAAAGTATAAAGCTCAGTTAGTATTTTTTTTTTTATTAAAAATTAATTCAGGACTGATGTGACCTACCAGATTTCAGAACATGTGTTAATAGTATATATGCCACTGAAAACTTAGGTCATGTATCATATTTTTCTTTAAGACTTTTTAAGAAATATTACCTAAACATGTGGCTTGCTAAGTGTTAATTGCAAGTTTTCATTCTTGGACTTTGAAAACAGGATAAAACATTAGTATTTGTTTGAATCAGCCTAAGTGGATCCATTTTTACAACTCTGCTATACTTAGCCTTTGAATTAGAAGTAAAAAAAAGTATCTCTGCTTTCTGTTACCAAAAAAAAAAAAAAAGATACATAGTTCAAAAACCAAAAACTGATCAACTACAAACAAGACATGGGCGGGTACAGTGGCTCACACCTATATCCTAGCACTCTGAAGGCTAAAGCAGGAGGTTCATTTGAGGTCAGGAGTTCCAAGACCATGTCTCTACTAAAAATAGAAAAATTAGCCATGCATGGTGGCACCGTGTCTGGTTAACTTCTAAGTTTTGTGTCATTTTACCTTTTCAAATTATTCAAAGGTAGTAATCCCAGCTACTCTGGAGGCTGAGGCAGGACAATCACCTGAGCCCAGGAGCTGGAGGTTGCAGTGAGCTATGATTACATCACTGCATTCTAGCAAGGGCAGCAGAGGGAAGATCAGTCTTAAAAAAAAATTAAAATTTAAACTAAAAAAAAAAGATATGGAGGAAGAAAAGAAAAATGTGTATGTTCTTAAACTCTGATTTTAAAATTAAGAACAAAAATAAGTAAAAACTAAAAACTCCTGTATGTTTTAAATGGTATACAAATGAACAGTTTGGAAACACCAAGTTGTACTTTCAACACACAATTTTATAAAAATGAAGTTACCTTCCATATCTTCATACTCCTTATCTCCCATGTTTAGGTATATACAGTTTTCTTCTTCATTTCTCCTTGGAAAAGGGTTTCCTGTAGGATGAATTATAATAGATAGTTTTTATGTTTGTCTTCTCCCAATATCAATTTTTAATAAAACAACAATCCTGACCAGTAAGATTTTATACATAATCCAGTATTCTTTCATATTCTTCCCATCAAAAACTACAGTCTTATGGAAAAGAGAAGCGTTATAATCTATTAAGCAACAAAAAAGACTAAATGATAAGTTTTGTGGCACAGACACAATTGAAGCTTCAGGAAAAAAGATCAATTGAAATGGAATTTTGGAGAATTATGTATGTTCAGGAACTTAAGGCATTCAAGGAACACAATAGTACAGAGAAATAAAATAGCACTTAGCTAGGCAATCTGACCAGACTAAGAGTGAGTCAGCAAGTGAGGGAAAGTGTGTGTACCGAGGAAGGGTAGGATATAAGTCAAGGACATCTGAAATATCACAGTAAGGGTAATAAAAGAAATAAGCTCAGATTCAATCCTATAGATCTTTCTGACAGGATGTCAAAAAATGATGTAAGTGAATTTTATAAGATTGATATACCAGCAAAGTATAGAATTATTACACTGGGGAAATTAGAAGCAGAGAGATTTGAATAGCTAGTAAACTGCTATGAAGTGAATTACAAACAAATTTAAGAACTTAAGAATTTCTGAGGTGGAGAGAAAATACATGGAAAGACTCAATGAACTTCTTCTGTCCTAAAGGACTGGAAAATATTAATTATAAGAGGCCAAAATGAAAAAATGTGGGAAAGAAAGTCAACTTGGTAATGTGAGCTAAAATAAAATTTTAAGACTCACCCGCCCATGAATGGACCCCTTCCTGGCCAAAGAATATCCTAAAACTAATTGCCTGCCAGGAGAAGGAGGTCACAGACATGCTTATCATGCCTCCTTCCCTCCTTGTAACCCATTAACAGGCCTAAGGCATGCAAGACAAACCTACAGGTCCTCAAATTTACAAACAAATATATGTCCCGTGTTTTATCTCTCATAAACAGCTTCTATTTAAAACATTCCAAGCCTTTAGACAAAGCTTCATGTCTTTAAACCAATTACAAGCCAAAGAATCTTTAAATGCACCTATAACGTGTAAGTCTCCCCCATTGAGATGGCCCACCTTTTCAGGCCAATGTCTGCCTACCATGTATTTATTTATGACTTTACCTGTAACCCTGTCTCCCTGAAATATATAAACCAAACGTAAAGCAAGGTTCTTGGTGTGGCTCTGGTCATGGTCCTCAAATTGGCTCAGAGTAAATCTCTTTAAAATTATTTTACAGAGTTGGCTTTTTTTCCATTGACAGTAGTCAAAGAGAAGAAAATTATGAGATAAAATTATTATTTTTTAATTAACTCAATATTCCTTCTGGAACTAATGCAAGACACCTAATTACAATGAAATGCAAATAAATTTTAGATATCTAGGTACAAGAAATCTCCAATTTCATCAGTTGTGATACTTCCATATGTACAGGAATTTCCTATGTATTCTAAAATAATTGACACTGGTAGTTCTACATTAAAGGTATGAATTGTCCCGGAAATTTCATTTGGGAAATTCCCTATTCGGTTAAACAAGGAGAAATGCAAAGTCCACACTTTGTTTAAAAAAAAAATCAACTCCAAAAGCAGAAGATAAGAAAACTTAGAAACATGTAAGAATGATTTTAAGGTTGCAGCAAATTAAAAGCTCAAAATGAGCATCAGAGCCATTAAAATTTTTTAATTCAATCAATCTGCCTTAATAAAGGTACACTGAGAAAACTTCCACTCTTAGCCTACATTTGCAACATTTGTTTCAGTTCTGGTATTTAAGGACAAAATGTGATAAGCCTGGAAACTATCATATGCAAAAATAATTTAAAAGCATATTCAGCTTATTACTTGATCTTTTGGCCTGAAAGAACAGAAAGCTTAAGAACAACAGTAGTCATCTTCAAATGGAATGAAGTGTTCTAAAGATAAGTAGAATAACCTATCAAAGAAGGTATTCAAGCAAAGCCCCAATGACCTCTTCTGGGATTTTTTTTTTAACTCAAAAATTTATTGAGTGCTACAGGTATATACAAGGCAATTCTTTAAGTACAGTACTGAACAGACAGACAGAAATCCCTGCCTTTACATTCTAGTGGGAAGACAAAATAAATAAAATAGTAAGTAAAATATCTAGTATTAGATTTGGAGCGCTGTGGAGGAAATTAAAAACAGTATAGCTAAAAATGGGTGAAAAATTGGGGAAGCTACTGTTAGGGAAACCTCTGTGATAAAGTGACATTTGAATTGGCAATCAGAAAGAAGCAAGTGAGAGTGTTATTTGGATATCCTATATACCCATGCTGAACATTCTCTGCAGAAAGAACAGCCAATATGAAAGTCAAGACACAGGCACATGCTGGTATGTTCAAGAACAACAAAAAGATGAATGGTTAGAATAGAGTGAAAAGGAAGAAATAGTAGATGAGGATGGAGAGGTAACAGAAGACAAGATCATGCAGCACCTTTAGGCTAAGGTAAGACTGGCTTCTTCTCTGAGTGACATGGAGCCACTAGCCACTCTCCTTTGAGCAGAGGAGACAAGGGAAAAAGTAGAGGCCAGCAAGGAGACTACTATAATAATCTTAGGGGAAATGATGCTGGCTTTTACCAAAGTGTTACCAAAGATGATGGAAAGTGCTCAGATTTCAGATTTTTTTGAAAATATAGCCATAAGGATTTGTGGGTAGTGAATATGGAGTTATTGTCAGAGAGCAAGGACCTAATAATTCCAAAGTATTTTGATCTGAGCAACTAGAAGTACTTAGACAAAAGATCACTATAAAAAAATTTAGATGTGTAAATTAGTACAACCACTATGGAAAACAATATGAAGGTTCCTCAAAAACTAAAATAAAACTACAATATGATTCAGCTATTCCACAATTGGGTATATATACAAAAAAGGGAAATCAAAGTCTCAAAAAGATATCTGCACTCCCATATTTACTGCAGCACTATTCACAATAGCCAACATATGAAATCAACCTAAATGTCTATCAATGGATGAATGTACCTAGAAACGCGGCATATATACACAATGGAATATTATTCATCCACAAAAAGGAATGAAATCTTACATTTGTAGCAACATGGACAGAACTGGAGATTGTTAAGTAAAATAAGCCAGACACAGACAGAGAAATATCACATGTTCTCATTCATATGTGGGAACTAAAAAGTAGGTCTCATCAAGATAGAGAGTAGACTGGTGGCTATCATGGGCTGGAAAGATTGGGAGGGGAAATGAACAGAAGTTCATTCGTAGGTACAAAAATACAGTTAAAAAGAATAAATAGACCTAGTATAAAATCAGCAGGGTACTACAGTTAACAATAAATACTGTATATTTCAAAATAGCTTGAAGAAAATAATTTGAATGTCCTAGTTCAATTTCTATATGTTTAAGGTGATAAATATCTTAATTACCCTGATTTGATCATTACATATGATATGAATGCATCAAAATATCACATGCACTCCCAAATACATATATCTGTTATGTATGAATCAAAAAAATTTTTTTAATCAGATAGTCAAGGTTACTCTCCTTGCTATTCATGTAGAAAGGCAACAAACTATCACCTGGGAACTTGTTGCAAATACAGGGTATCTCAGGCACCACCCACACTAGTGAATCAGAATCTGCATTTTATCAAGACTATACATAATTCATATGTACATTAAAGTCTGAGAAGCGCTGCTCTAGACAGCTTCCCAATTTAGCTGACTTTAGAGTCATACGTGCTCCTGCATAGTACATAATCAAGCATAATTTTTTATTTGGGAAATTCATACCATACTGTCTCCCCCATTATCCTAAGTATCTGAGAATAAAAAATATTCAAGCCAGAGTTAATTCAATGTGATAAATAGCAATTTGAAATTAATACATATTTTAAGAACCTAAGAAATTTCAGGCGATGTAATATACTATCCCTTATGTAGCACAATAATTTATTTGTCATATCTAATAGTCTGATAGCTATTTCACATTTCCTCCTTTAAGAATATTAAGCTTGGCCGGGCGCGTGGCTCACGCCTGTAATCCTAGCTCTTGGGAGCCGAGGCGGGCGGATTGCTCAAGGTCAGGAGTTCAAAACCAGCCTAGCAAGAGCGAGACCCCGTCTCTACTATAAATAAAGAAATTAATTGGCCAACTGATATATATAAAAAAAAAAAAAATTAGCCGGGCATGGTGGCGCATGCCTGTAGTCCAGCTACTCGGGAGGCTGAGGCAGAAGGAATCTTTTTTTTTGAGGTTGCTGTGAGCTAGGCTG